TTTAAACAGTGAAAGACAGCATAACTATGTAATTCCAGTAGTTTCTTTGTTGGCAGCTCCAAGAAAATTGCATTGCACCCCCTTGCTGCATTGCAGCACTTAGAGAAAAAAACTCTTGAGTATGGTCGTCTTGAACAATATATCTAAAGATGATATATATATATATATCGTTATATATATTAAGAAAATGTTTGGTTTGAACTTTCCTTATTGAACCCATTGAAAGGGTAAATATTTCCACTAGGAAGAATAAAAGATATTTTTAAGCAATTCTAATATCATGTTCTTGGGATAAAAAAAATCCCAAAACATATGTACCCGCTTAGAGTAAATAACCTTGCTTAGATTCCTGGAAGCAAAAATTAACCTTATTTAAAACTTTATTCACTATGACCTCTCCGTGAGGGAAATATAAAATGCAAGGAATTGACTGCCTGAGTATTCCAGTGCTTATGTTGTCCTGAAAATTAATCTCAAAAGCAGAAGGAATTTTATTTGGGTCCATCCCCAGAGAGCTAGAGACAGGATTGTGTGCACGTAGTTTTCTACTTCTTTTCCACCAGATGTCTTGTTTCATGGTGTGCATGCTGTGCAACAGACTCAGCTACAACCAATGAACAGCCAGAAAAGAATCTCAAGAAAACATGTAACCTCCCCAAAGGAGGTCCAGCCACACAGGACGATCAAGGATGGTCGCAAGGCCAGGCGCTGTTAGAGCTTTACTGTCTTCCAGAGTTTCTGCTGCCTTCACATGCAAATTTCCAGAAAAGCATGCCCTGATGTGTACAATTTTTGGAGCTCTTAAGAATTTTGAGAGTAGCCCACATGGTTTATGGTGCGGTCATTTTATAAACTAATAACCACACTCAGGAACATCTGCATCATACATTTCTCACCTCTGCCATCCCTTCCACTGGCTTTTGTTTATCCACCTGTAGGATACCATTCTTCGCTGTGCGAGACACTCGTATCTCATGCCATTGACCCAAACTGACAGGTTCTTCACTCCTGTTTGAAGGAGAAGAAAACTCCTAAGTATTTTATACTGACATCTTTCTGCTAATTTCAAATATCATTGTCAAGAGGAAGAGTCAAGCACTCTGGGGATGACTAAAAATAATAAAAATCAGTGAGTTTCTTTCCTTAGAGGGAAGTAACATAACTTCTGACTACCAGCAGAAAGGAATCTAAAACCACACTCCTACAGCAAATGACAAGTCCTATGCTTTTATTTAGAAAAAATGAAATCAATAATCAATGCATTTCATTTACCTTAGAGTTATTTTTTATACTAAGCCATGTATAATGTACAACGACAAACTATAATCTCAGCTATACATCCTCTTTTCATGTAAGTTTGGAGATTAAGCTTCCCACTAAACAGCCAGTTTAGACCCACATTCTTTGTCTTCTTTTAAAAAAGAGATGCTTTGTGTGGGTTTAGCAAGGCTAATTGTGTAGACTGATAAGTGGGATCTTCAGACACACACACATACACACATTGAGGGGGAATAACTAAAATATGATCCTAATGATGTGATCCTGACTAGGAACAATAATCCCCAGTTACTGTGTAAAACATTCACCAGTCTCAAAAGAACCATTTAAAAATTGCTCTAACAATCTTTATTAGTTCAGTATTAATATGAATGGCACCCTGTATAATGGGTAAAAATACATCTCTCATCAGTGAAGCTCTATAGAACGTTGTATTTTATTTTAATCAATGCAATAGAACGACATTTGAAAACACTTCATGTCCAAATATTAACTTGTAACTTTTTCTCCAAAATTCACTGCTCAAACAGGAAAAATAAATCAGAAGCAACATTTAGAACACCTTAAGACTTTCTAGTTTTGTATTTTCAGACTGTTTACATTTAAAGCTGAACAAAGATACATTTCAAAATTGAATATTTATTTGAAAAAATGTGATTTGAAATAGAGATTCAATAGCGATTGAAATGCTGATTTTAAAAATCCTTTTATTTTGAAAATGTGAAAATTACTTTTTTTTCCCCTGAACAATCAACATAAATTCAAACCTATTTTGTTCCTCCAAATTTCTCTGAAGTCCATTTTCATCTATTCAGAAAACAATGGCAATATTTTTACTGTCAATTACTTTTTACTATGACTGACTTTTTTTTTTCCAGAAAACCTCCATAAAAAGATATCACCAAGTAATGTCATTCACTTGATATCCTTTTTCTTGTTAAGTAGCATTTAGGGTTTAACTACTTTGGGTAAGTCAATATGTAACGGAATTTAATCATCTTGTATAAGTAAATATTTATAATCAAACCATACAGGTTTGGCTGCCTGGTAAGTGGCAATACATTTTTATCTCCTCTGCTGATTAGGTCATCATCATGTTAACCCTCCTGCTCTGCTAGATTTAATTACAATTAGGGTTGAGTAAACTTTGCAGAGCTATCACTTAAGATCTGCGAGCTATTTCTTGGATTCACAGCCCTTTTTAAATGAACATGAGTTGTTTTAATGTTTTTTGCAGGCATTTGAACACTTCTGGTTCTTTGCTGGCTGTTGGACTTGAGAATTACTTTTTTCCCAGATAAATCAAACTTTAAGAAATCATGAAATTCTTGATCCTGCAAACATCCGGCATATGAATTCTCAGGGGACAGGAAATTTTCCTCTAAGACATCTTGGTAAATAGCTTAGCTCTGTATCCAGATTGGTGCTTCTCCACCTCAGCCCAGACTCACAGTGTCTGGGGTGGCTTTGGCAGAAGCCTGTGGAGACCATCTGCTCCAATCCCCTCCTCAAGAAGGGCCAGTTCAAGACTGAAGCAAAATGCAAGTGTCACAAAGTACAGCTTTTCTTCTCCTATTGCTGACATACTAAAACGAGCTTGCTTCTTCCCTATTTCTAAAGATATTCTAATCATACTCTAATTACATTCTAATATTTAAGAGCCTGCTTTCTCAGCCTAGCCATATTAACAGAGGCAGTCAGGACTGTGTTGCACACATTATGTAGAAAAAGGACCGCAAATGGGCATATGGCTAAATATTCACACTAGGTGGTGGTGGTGGATGACCACTGTGGCCCATGAGGTAGTGACTGGGGACAGCATCTGTGCATGGCACAATTTCACTAGGACATCTGCAGTTTTGATGTAACTCAGCCACGGGAAGGATTTTGCAGGCTGAGGAAAGTTCAACACGTCAAAGTTATGTGGTTAATGCATGAGTTTAGTATGTAATCATACTGTCTGAAGCTTGAATGTGTGCAAATGCATGGACAGAATCAGACAAATAAGGCAGTACAAAAGGGTGGTACTAGATGGTAACCAGGTGGAAAAAGAGTGACACAGTATAACACTTCTAAACAATTGGTAATAAGGGGAAGAGGCATTCATTCATTTTGGATTAGATTTATGGGATCAAAAGGATTCCAGTGTGCACCACATTATACCTCCCACAGTATTGCTAGAAAATCCTGAATCAATGAAACCATGGTAAAAACTCATGTTGAGCAGGCAATCAAAAGTTTGGCATTTCTTCATCATGTACCCAAACTGATGAACTATGTATTCTATATAATATTAAGTGAACACAAATAGCTGTAATGTATTATTTAATAATATCTCCATGTTTTGGAAAATTCTTATGACTTTTAACTAAGCATGTCAGCTTTAGGACTTTATTAACTATCATAACCAAACTCTATTTACCTTAATATACATGATGCAAAAGTTAGCTGCTTCTGCTTCTCTCCTTTACTCTTAAAAAGAAAGGGTTATTTTCCACTCTCAGGCATATACTTATAGGTCATGCCACATTTTACAAGCAAATATGTCCTGGTTAAACTTTCATACCTGGTGTTTTGCAGCACTACAGTATTTTGGGGAAAAAAAAATGATTGCCTAACATCTTGCGCTTGCCTATAATAAGAATTAGATAGCTCTAACTAGAAAGAGGTTGAAAGCTGTTGGGTCATTTGGGTTGGAGCAAAGGTCTCTGACATCAGCTATTTCTGCCATGTTGGGCAAGAGAAAAGAACAGGGCAAGTATGGGTACTTCTTTTGATATATCCTCCCAGTTTCTGGCAACTTGTCATTTGGCAATTTCCTGAATACGAAGCTGCATCCGTACTATTGTGTTTGATCTCCCTCAATGGATCTTTCTTCAAATTTACGCTATGTTTTTATGAACTTATTTATAGTTTTGGCACATGATGTGACAGTTTCCACAACTACTTTGTGTGCTGCCTGAAAAAAAAAAACTTGTTTTTCTTTGTTTTATACTACTTATTCACTTGTTCTGTGGTTTCACTGGAATCTTATTCTTTGATAATGAAAAAATATATAATAATCATTTCTTATTTATTTCAATGTCACTGTTCAAAAATCTTTGTCATACTTCCACCAAGCTGTCTCTTCTCCAGTCTGATGAGTCCTGCTGTATTTGTGGAAGCTGTTTCTTTCCCTGCCCTAGACATCACCATTGCTCTTCCCCAGACTTTTACTGATTTCTTTTGAAGGGGAGTGATCAGAATTTCAGGAAATTTTCAAAACTGCAGGGTGTGTGTATCAAGAATTTTTACAGAGGCCTTGTTCTTTATTCTCTTCCAAGTAATTCTCTGTATTGTACTTGCCTCCTTCTATTTGTTTCTGTTGCTTTTGCAGAAGGCCTGATGACTCCTGGATTTCTGACTGGCAGCAATTACTGTCTTGCCACAATCATGCGCTGATAAAATCATGCATCATTTTTCATTTGCTCACTTGAAATTTCATTTCTCACTTTCCAATATGCTTAGAATTTGCTTGGTTCCTCATTCAGGGAAAAATCAGTATATTCCTCTTAATCGCAGCACAATCCAAATTCTCAGTGTTCACAGGAAACATATGGTATGCAAAAAGTTGCAGGCCATGTACATATTTTGTGTAAACTTTGCATAGATTATTTCTGTATATTAGGTCAGCCTGGTAAAAGTGGCAGCCTCTTGGACCAGATCCAAGGTACTGGCCTTGGCTTCTATTGGTATTGGTACTGGCTTCTATTTGGCCCTTTGCTTTTTCCTCAGAGCACAAGGAACAGCTGCCCAGGGACTGTGCACTCACTTTATGCAGGCAGATAAACCCTTGCTGAGGCAACTCCTCATTTCCATCCTAGAAACCTATTCTAGGATGGGATGAATCATTCTCAAAAGGCTTGTCTTTATCTGGAAGGCAGACATCTAAATTTTAGGCTCATGAAATTAGATAAATTGAATCCCACTCTTAGATCCCCAAAATCCCAGCACTGTGAGAAAGAAAGAGGGAAGCTGGAGGTATATGTTCATCCAGGAAAAAAAAAAATGCCTCTAGCTCAGTACTTACTATAAAAATGTCAGACCAGGGGAAAATGCCAATATTTTAGCACCCTGTGAGTGAAAAATATGAATATATGTATCAAATATTTAGGGATGCTTCTTTACTAACTCATAATTTGCCATGACATAGTATCTTGATGACAATGAGGGAATTTCTGCAATATCATATAGAAACAAAGGCAACATGCAGTAAGATGTGGCATAAAACTATAACACTCATAACAATACTTTGAGATGGAATTTAGTGTAGAAAGAGGAGGAGAAAGTCTTATACACTTAAATATGTGTTTCCTTAGAAATAGTAGCCCCTAGAGGGTGATGAACTCAGATACTGCACTATAGGCTATTATTCTTTCTAGCCCACTTGGCTCTGCACTGTGGCACTGGAAACAAAGCAGAAGAAACGCAGTTTACCTGATGACAGCCGTTCCTGAGCCGCAGTCGAACCTGAACTCCACATAACCAGCCACCATGTTAATGGAGAGGAAGTCCTTGCTGCGTGAGTCGTAGCTATACAAAAGGACACCGCTCTCTACATCTGGACGAAATGTCACCTCAAACTCCATGAAGGAAAGGTAGTTCTGGGGTTCCAAGGGCCAGGGTGTGCTAGCAAATGACATCAGGGATTCGTTGAACTGAGGTATAGCCAAGGTGATTGCTGGAAATCCGGAATACACAGATAGGTCACTTGAGGTCCAAAGAAAAGGAACTGACTAATCCACTAACCAGTGCCAGTTTTCTTGTTATGCATTTAATCATAGAATCATAGAATGCTTAAGGTTGGAAGGGACCTCTAGAGGTCATCCAGTCCAACCCCCCTGCACACGCAGGGTCACCTAGAGCACGTGGCACAGGGCTGCGTCCAAGCAAGTTTGGAAGATCTCCAGAGAAGGAGACTCCACAACCTCTCTGGGCAGCCTGTGCCAGTGCTCCATCACCCTCACTGTTAAGAATATTTAACTTAAATTTCTGTGGAACTTTCGATGCTTCAGTTTCTGGCCATTTCCTCTATTTCTGTCGGTGGCCACCAGTAAAAAGAGACCAGCACCATCCTCCCCGCTGCCTCCCTTGAGGGGCTTATAGACACTGATCAGGTCCCCTCTCAGCCTTCTCTTCTCCAGGCTGAACAGGCCCAGCTTCCTCAGCCTCTCCTCATGAGGCAGAAGTTCCAGGCCCCTGATCATCCTTGTAGTCCTTGATCATCCTTGTAGCCCTAAAGCTAATTTAAAGCTAATATCAAGAAACAAAACAAAACAAAGCAAAACAACAACAACAAAAAAACTAGAAGCTTTATCCATGTTAGAAGTATTTTTATCCTAAGCAACAACATTACTTCCCTTCTTAATCCTATCTTTCTTCAAAGATACATGTGTATAATAAAATGCTTTGCTTCTTTTCTGTATTATAGCCATGGCCAAAGTAGGAGGCATGCACACAGTGGTTGGTTTCATGAAAATCTACGTTCTGCAGCAAAGAAAATAATGTTATACCTATTTTGCCATTTGTTTCAACAGAAAAATGATATTTGGTGTTTTGCATTTTAGAATATACAACCAACGTTGGTTTTAGGAGAAGTGCATTTGTGTTTTTTAGAGTTAATGTATAGCTGTGGAGTGGTATATTATTTTACCTTCTGAAAGGGAAGTTTCAGAAACCGATTACCTAGGAGCTGAATAGAACTCCAGAGCAACTCATGGGAGCATTTTATTTTATGGTACTAAATAGGAGAAATAGCAAGGACTGTCTTCTGTCAGTGTAATATTGTAAGGCAGTCTTGGATATGAATATGAAGAAAATGCACTGAACACGAGAACACACAGAAAAAAATAGAAGCTACCTAGCATCCTCTCACCTTCTTCACAGTGATGGCCTTTAAATCCAAGAGGGCAAAGGCAAATATAGGAATCAGCTTTGCTTGCAGTACAGGTACCACTGTTGATACAGGAAGCTTCATCACAAATTCCACTGCTACATTCACCTAAACACAGGGCCAGAACATATCAAAGATGTCAAAGATTATGCATTTGGCTCTTAATCATTACTAGTGACAAATACAATTTGCTCTCCTATCTAGACTGCGTTCCCGTTTGTCAAAGTGTACCTTTGTGGCAACGGAGCTTCATTGTCAGGACTGGCTTTAAATCCGACTAGAAAGAGACTTTAAAAATAGCAGAAATTATCACTAACCAACACACCATGACAGTCAAATATTTCACTCATTCCCAGATTTTCTGTCCTTGATCTCACCTTTATTTTCTTGTGTTCAGACTCTCCAAAAGCCACTGGCTGCTTACAAGCATTGTGATTTGTTTAATTTCAATTACCTTAAGTCTTCCTTCTTCATGGTAAATTTGTGCAATGGTAATCTGGAAAGGTGTTAATCAGCAGCAGCTGATCTTATTAACTAAAATGAGGTTAACTCTTCCGTCTGCATTAAAAGGGATCCATATTACCAGGATACGGGCTTTCTAAAGTATAAAATTAGAGTATTTCATGGTGAAAAGGTGTTTTTTTATAAAGTATTGCTTAATTTTATTTTTTTTTTATTTTAAATAGTTTCTGATTCCCCTTTATTCACAGTACTAAACTGAAAGTATTCATTAAGAAAGCTCAAATAAGACGTCTGTGGTATATGAGCATAAATGTATCATTTGGAAGCGAAAAGTTTCTGACAAACTAAGAATCACATTCATTTGGGGATATTCTGAAGGGCATCTCTGAGATGAGACAGGTGCACTGAGGCAATTCTGATTCTCCAGTGGAATATTATCAAAAATAAACAGTTGTTATCAGGGTGACCAAGGAGAGCTTGACAAATCTATTGCAAGAGGATATGTTATGTCTTTTTGTTTTCCTGTGGTTAAATACAACTTTCTGACATGACCGCTCTGACTATAAAGACAGCATCCAGAGCAGGACTCTACAAAACTTCAGTGAGGTCTTGGCATTAGTACAGTATCAGCTTTATAGTTTGGTTTCCCATCATATATTCAGAAAGAAAAGTGCAGTGAAACTTCTCTTGTATAATTGGTTGATGTGCTGCTTCACTCTGTTACAAAAATGAGAAGATCATTCAGTCACTGAGGCCAGAAAATAGCATTTGCTTACTGAGTCTCAGAAGACAGACGTGGTAATAACTCTTAGGTCATCTGGGATAGTTCCCTATCAGAACAGACTTGTCTCAGATCATACATTTACAGATGTCCTGTCAGACCCATTTTTTTTATTGTGAGATGCATGGCATAAGTATCCTGCTCATAACAGCAGACTCTGAGGCTAACTCACAGATCGTAAGCAAAATGTGAGGTCTCTGCAACAGAGCAAATGCTCCTTTTAGATGGAAGGAAACATTTAACCCTTTCAAAAGGCTACTGCGTGCCCAGCAGTGGGAGCTCCTGTACTCACAACATTAATTTATGCATCTATTCTGAGCTAGTGGCCATGGTAAAAAAAAGCAGGGCAGTACTGGTGTTTTGATCCAGTGTTTTCCATGTGACCGTACCCCATTTCAGTAGAGCTATAAGTAGAGTTTCAGCGGGATGCCTCACTTCCCACCCTCAGTTCTACAGTCCATGTACCTCACTACCACTGATTAGTATCAACAGGAACAAAAGAAAAGGATGGCTAGCAAAAGTGATTCCTAACTTCTATAAAGCTCACTTTGCTTATTTTAGGCTTAAATTATATTCCATACTATTTGCACATCCCTCATGATACAGTTTCATACAGATGTGTGCAGCCACATAAGGACAGTAGGGCTCTATCATTCAGCTTTGAGTCACACATGGCAAAACCCAGCATTTACTTTCATCAATGTTGGCTGTTAATGCAGTAGTACTTGGAGCATTCATGGATGGCAAGGAAGCTAGCGCAAGCCAGCAGGTAAGAGATTAGGACTCACAGAACTTTAGCAAGGCTTTCATCTCCCTATATAAATTCCATAGATTCTCACTGTGTCGTGAAATTACCCTGTTTCCAAAGTCTTATTCTTTCTGGCATGTGCTTCTTGGGCCACTTTGTTCCCTTCTCACACTGCACAGAAAGTTGGTCACTTTATCTAGAGAATACAGAGCATTGTTAGAAGGTTTCTTATTAATCACTTCATGCATGGCACTGAGAGTTGGAAGATATGGAATCTTTTTCCTGCCTTTACCTCTTGTTTTCTGACTTGTGGTTTAGTTTTTGTCTTAACTTGCTTAGACTGGGGGGTCATTAAAGCAAGGATTTGGTTTCTTTATTTTTTTTCAAGCGCCCATAACACGGATGAAACAGAGATGAATAAATATTTATAGATGACAAGACTAACTCATTAACTTCCCTGCTTCTCCATCTTTTCGTCTGTGAAGGGGAGATAATGTTATAATACCACTTCATAAAGCTGTTGAGAGAATATATTCCAGGACACTTCTTAAACATACTGTGATCCTGGAAATGAAAGCAATGGCTGGTCAACGGGAAAGCCTATTTGCCTCAGTGGTAATGGGGTTTCGTGGGAAAGAGCCCTTTGCAAGGACAAAAGTGCTGCTGGGAGGCTAAAAGATCCCCACAGGCTTCACACAAATGTCTTTAGGCAAAACGCATTTTGTTGTGTCCACAGCACTTTAAATACAAACATAGTGTGCATATCATTGATTTCTGATGACATGAGCGTGTCATATAGGACATAAAGAGCCACCCTGAGGGATGCTGGCAGAAATACTGGTACAAGCATGATTATATCAGTACCACTCAGTTTCTCTTTTTTTAAAAAAAGAAAATTTTTTTAGATAGTTTTACTACTATGTTGAATAGCTATGTCCACAAGGAATGTTTTTTGGTACATCGCATTGATCCTTGCACAGTGTGATCAAGTCCCTCTATCGCAGTCAACTAAAGCAATGCACAAAGGTGCAGGGAAACACCATGCAAACACCAGAGAGCACAGCCTTCTCTCTCAAACCTGGACAACTGCCCTGTTTCTTCAACGGGCCTTAATGTTGCCTTAGCACTAAGTACTCCGTATCATCACACTCACCTACATCAGCTCCGCTTAGTGCTCTCCCCAGTGGCCAGGGTCTCATATCAACGACCTTCCCATTGACACTGAGGCTTTGAACGCAGCCCTGGAAGCCACGGTTGGTGCCAGCTGCTCTGACCAGCCAATACACGCTGGGGGCACCACCAACGTAGAACGGAGTCCGGAATGTAATTTTACTATATTGGCCCTAGAGAGGAAACAGAGCATGACATGACATGGAACAGACATAACACACGATAACTAATTAAGCCATACTGCACATAATCAATTATTTTCTCCCTGAAGAACTGTCTCGGGGAGATATAGGCTGCTCATTAGTAATTCCTTCCCATTAGGCATTCCCTCTCTTGGTGTCATTTTAAATGTTACTTTTTGCATCCACAGACATTACAACAGGTTGGACTATTTACTGCAAAATAAAAAGCTTAAAAGTCACTATATTCTGAGAAAGGATTGAGGATATCTGTCTTTTCCTGCCTTTCTTCCTCTACTTTCACCAAAATTGTTTTTCTTCTAAATTCTAAGCCCTGAGGGACACATACCAATGTGATACTGCCTTTTGGGCAGAACCCAGGAAACACTTACTATAGAATAATAATAAAATGATGAAAAATAATGTTAAAAACAAATCTAAGACATTAACTGATACAAGTTCAACCTCACTGGGTTTCTGCTCACTTTGCTACCGCTAAATTTACTCCCACTTGTTTTTTTGGCCTTTGTCTGATTATGGAAACCGACAAAAATTGCAAAGTGTACTAGCACTACTAGAGCACATAGTAAGGAACAAAAAAAGCCTTTCCCAGCTGCTTGCCACCACCCCTCGCCTTTGATGCTCCTACCACCCAGGGCTGTGAAGTTCCACTACTCTAACCTACTCAAGACAAAATGAACCCAGTGAAAGAAGACTACTGTTTTACTGACACTAATGAATCTTATCTGGACTAGAGTGGGTTGAGGAAGAATCATAGGAACAGCTATACTAAGGGAGCAGAAGCTCTGGCAGGGAGAAACACATGGAGCAGTAATATCTTCTGGTTCAGTTTCACCTAGAAAAATGTATGTGTCCACTGCCAAATTCTTCTTGCAATGATCACTGCAAACCATAACCTTTCTGGTGGCTCTTCTGTGTGCTTTCTCTTGTTCGACTTGGTCTATTTTGGATGCAGGTGTTCACAGCTGTACGTAGCCAAATACAGTCCCACCAAAGTTTTCTACTGTGGCATTAGTCTCTGCTGAAAATATCTGTCCAGATTCACCCTAAAATCACATCTGCCCTCTGCATGGCCTCATTGCATTAGTAACACACAGAAGCATCTGTCAGATGCTAAATTCCTTCTCCTCTGTCATTGCCAGTTGATGAGTTCTCCATGTGCAGCAGAAGTCAGACACCAGGCTTCATCCCATTCCTATTACTCAAGTCCTCGAGATTTTTTTTCCTTTCAGAGCATGCATATGAAAGTGTAAAGTGATAAGATGTCTGAAGCCACCCTTTTCAGGGCTAGGGCATGCTAATAGTGCTTATCAACAAGAAGAGAGAAGACATCTGAACCAAATTGCAAATGTTTCCTCCTTTTCTTTTCTTTTCTTTTCTTTTCTTTTCTTTTCTTTTCTTTTCTTTTCTTTTCTTTTCTTTTCTTTTCTTTTCTTTTCTTTTCTTTTCTTTTCTTTTCTTTTCTTTTCTTTTCTTTTCTTTTCTTTTCTTTTCTTTTCTCTTTTTCTTTTCTTTTTCTTTTTCTTTTTCTTTTTTTTTTTTAATTTCACTTCTGTTTTCTGGCCTGGTAACAGAAAAGCAAGTCAAGACGCCTTCCTCTATTATGGCAACAATTATGGAAATTGTTGGTGTTAATATAATCCAGGGCATGCAGAATCTGGCCCTCTAACCGCATTCCAGCCTTTATAATCTAACTTTAACTTTGTTTTCTTTTAGTTGTTTTGCTTTGCCACTTGTTCCTCAGCAAGGATGCTTCTGCCATACATTTGTGTTCTTGAATTTTCCAATCAGTTTGAATTTCCTTTTAATATCTCTCTTTAAAATATTGCTATACTTAAAGCTACATCCATTTTATACAAAAGATTACACTTATGTATAGATACCTAATGTCCAGCTATACATATATAAAAATATATTATATACATATATAGATACACACACATGCTTTCATTTTTTTTCTGGGTAGGGAAGCAGAAAAGAGCAAGATTATATTCTCCGAGGCTTGAAAAAGAATGAAATTAGCGACAGCAGCTGTAAACCCTGGCAAGCTTCTAACAGCAGCCTGTATCTGAGATTGGGGAAATATAGCAGAAGGGTGGCTGAGAAAGTAAAAAGGGCACTAGGAGACTGTGATGGCATTCACTGCTAGGAGGGCACTAGGAGACTGTGATGGCATTCACTGCTAGGATATTTATCTATGTGTATATTTCTAGACTACATATCTGAAAAAGTAGTCTTGGTTCACTAAGTTCCTCAACACTAATGAATAAAAATGTACTTTTTAAAAAACTGATCAGACTTCTGGCAAGAATAAAGGTCATTATAACCTTGAGAGAGGCCAAAGTAGAGCTCCAGGGTGCAGGGTTTCTCACCTGAGATTTGCCTGTGACTGGAGCATCATTGTCCATCTTGAGCCAGCCGTTCACCCCATCTCTGAACACCGTGACACTATGCCAGTTTCCCAGTTTGATTTTGTTTTCACTTGTTATGGTTGCAACTCCAGTGCCACAGTTGAACCTGGAAGCATGAGACAGAGAGTTCAGAGTGACAGTCTTTCATTAAGTTAAATAACCAACAGTCAGTTTTAGGCTTTAAATGCTCCCTTCTCTTCTGAGAACCTCTCTTGTTTCACATTCCATATTAAAATGACACAGGAAAATTAGACAGCAGGTCTAAATCCAATCTTCCTGTAAAATTGATCTTCATTTTAAACTTTCTTTAATATGCTTCTTTCATGGAAAAGATTTTTGCATCCTTTGGCACTACCAAGTGCATGCAAAGCTTGCCAGCAGCAGAAACTGTTTCAAGATGAGGGTATTACAATCTGAATTCCTGCTAACACAATAATTTCTCTTGGGTTTTTTTCTAGGCCTCTCGTGAAAGGCAGTGCTAGATTAATAACTCTGGGATTCGCTATGAAACTCTGTGGAGCTGAACGTGCACAAAACACCGTTTTCTCTGATTGCCCCTCAGTACAGGAGGTACATAGAAACACACCTAAGAGACACCTTGGTCTTTCTCTACTTTCAGAGGAATCACCTTCCCAAATAAGGAGACCTCTGAGATATTCTCTCATATACTAAGGCACTGCAAGAAACTTTCTCCATCTAAATCTAAAAAACATGCCCCTCCTATCTAAATGACGGGTATGAGATGAAGTCCAAAGCCCCTTTGTCACACTAAATCTCTTTATTTTACTGCATTCTCTTCAGGTCCTTTTGCTGGGAAGCAAATAAACTCTACAGAGCAAATGGGTGAGCAAGTGCAACGGTCACTTACATTTCTGATAACGCAGCAATGAGCTCCATAATAATGCTCTTAAGAAAACTCATTTTGCTTAAGAAAAACTCGTTTTGCTTTTGCAGAGAAGTCTGCATAAAGTGGAGTCAACAAGGCACACGTCTATGCACTACACAAGGATAAGAGAACAAAATATTGAAGAACTGCCCGGTGAAGTCGTACTATCCATTTTGTGCACTGCCTTGGGTAGAAGTCAAAGATACAATGGACATTCCATACCTAAAGGAGTCTCTGGAAGCAGCAGTGACCCTTTACTTTGCACGAAGGTGGAAGTAAGCCTAGTAGAAATCAATGCTTTACCTGAACTGGAGGTTGCGTCGGATAATTGCTAATGACATAAAATCACCACGACCATGTTCATTTTCTCCACAGTACAGCAGCAAACCATCTTCTGATTCTGCCTAAAATCACCATGAATCAACATGAAATATCAAAATATAAGGCTCAAAGTGACAGACAAATGTGAGCAGGAAAGAGGTACTTTTCTTCAGAAAATATGCGACATTTATCAGATGGAGTCTTTAATTTGCAAAACCAAAAATATGTTGGTATAGTTCAAATTCTACACTCGACGAACCTTAAAAAAACACATGGCCTTAATACTTAGATGGCTTAGGACCATCTCTCCTACGATGGATCACCAGGGGAGGCAGCAGGTTACTCCTGGACCAGTGATAGCCTCAAAGCTGGAGTGTGAGACTGGCAACTCTGCGGTATGTGGGAGCAGAGGACGCCAGGACTGCACCTGTGACACATGCATGGCCACCCTCCCATCAGGAGACACTGCCAGCTCTCTCCATAATACACAGACAGCATTAATACAAGGCAATGTGATTTACTACATCAGGCCTGCAATTTGTCTAGTTCAGTATCTTGCAATTACTAGGGGCCGGTGACCTATATTTCACAGGGGAAAATAGGTACTCCAGCAGTCTTTTATGCAGGTGAACAAGATAACCATTTCTCACATGTAAACACAATGTGTGACACTTCCAAATTACAAATTTTAATGCCAAAAATACAGGTATATATCAGTCTGTAGTTCATTCAGATGACTACAGTCCTGCCAAGGCACATTGCTGCTAGTCCGCCATGCCCAGTATTGCTAATGCCAAGGATTCACTCACGTACTACCAATAATAAATATTTTAGCTCAGATTGCCACATTCATTGGATGTGAAGCCAGATCTGTAGAGATGAAGGTTGTGTATATGCCTACCACAATTACACTAGCAGCCATAATGAAGCTAATTTATTGTTCCAGTGTCCATAGCATCAGAATAAGCAATGAATTTGTAAAGCTTCTATGTGAACTCAGGATAAACTTACCCTAAATTCAAGGGTAATTTGAAATGTCTGATAGGAGTTTTTCAGTGGTTCAAAGGTGATATATGAGTAACCAGAGAACTGAGGATACTGGATAATAATATCTGAAAAGAAGAGACAGAAGCATGCTGTTTAGAAGTTTTCTCCCATATAAAAATCGATACACACATTTAGCACTAGATAACATCAAGTGAAAATGCAAGGCAGAGTTTCTCCAGAGACTACTATTAGTCAGCAGCAGTCAGCAATCAGTTAACCTATTGCTTTGTCCTCCCACCACCTTCCACAACTAATTCCTTTATTCCCAAGTTTCCGGGGAACTTGGAAAGAAAAGGGATACTGAGGGCCAAACACTCTTCAACAGTTTAGTTGCTGGCTTCAGTGCAACTTACCCTAGATTCTTGTCTCTGCTACAGAAGACAATATTTGGCTATTTTTTTATTTATCTTCTTCTAGGCACTCGTTTAGCAGAGAGATACCAGAGTAACTCTCTGTTTTGGCGGATTATAAAAACATATGTCGGAAAAGCACTCTGGGCTGGATTCCACACCACGTTAATCACTGCTGCTCTGTAGCTGCTGCATACAGCATCCCAAGCATTCCAAGCTGGCTCTGGATAGCCCACCAGCCCCTAATCCTTCCCCAGTAACCTCAAGGTATAAGGTACAGGGGGTGATGGGAGGATGGGTGTCCCTGAAGGCACCTCTGCATCCTGGGACGCTTTGGCTGCAGCAATGATCGTTTGTATTGCTGTTGTTAACTGCCCTCACAATCATCACCCTTCAATGTTGTACATCACAGCATCATCTCCAACACCGGGAAAAGCAAAAAGATACTTTACTGCTGCCTTTGCAGCTCCTTTCCTAAGAAGGAGAGAGGAAAGAGCCAGTTTCAGCCCAGAATTCTTATTTTGTCAATGAGTAAAAGCACAATGAGAGCATCTAAACATAATGAGAAAGAAAGGATGAGGTGTCCTCTCTGCTAGTTGAGTTTTGACTGGATTTTACTTGCATTTGGATCTAGATGCAGTTATCTCAGCTTTTTTGTTTTTGTTAGTAAGCAAAAAAATGAAATGCATTTTTGACTGGGGAGAAGAGAACTGGTGATATAAACCTGAATGCAGCTACAGCAAAAGCAAACTAATTCAGGTACCATTCACAAACAGAGCTGTCTGGACCACAGTGCTACACAGTTATTGATTATAAAGAAAAGTCAATTTTCAGTCAGATTAATGAACTATTTAGCCATATTGGCTGCTGTGGAGAAGTTCAGTACAAGGAAATATAGGTACACGATGTTTGGCTTACCAATGAATAGAACACTTGTGAAAAATATGGACTCACATTAACAAAAATTCAGACTCCCATTAAGGAAACTGGTTCTGCAAGCTGTATATCGTTAAAATAAATCCTTGACTTTTCGTACTTGATAAGGCCAAAAATCACATCTACAGCTGTTCCATGTGCTGAATCACAACAGATTATTTTCAGAATGAATTCTCTTTACTCCAGCATCAAAAATAAAGATCGAATATTCCTAGTGTCTATAGCTCTGATGCATAATCCTGTGCATCAAGAATTTCTGAAATGAGATTGCATAAGAAACAGACAGGGTCCAGGGCAGAAGGGCCCAGAGCTGTGTGAAGAGACAGCAATTAGCTTTTTTCTTAACTGCATTACAAGGAAGAGGACAGATCCTTATCACTCCTTGCATTCACCACTGAGGATAGTCTGGGGACTCCTAAGTCACACCGCTGTCCTTATAGGGTCTTATTTGTAAGTCATTTTCTTCATTTATTCCTTCGCTTGTGATCATCATTTTAATTGCAACAGCATTTGTTGTGGCTTTAAGCAACTGTTATCACTAGTCTGACACTGAATGGGGAAGGGATGCCTAGGAAATTGTGGCAGAGGAGAAAACACTGCTTCTTTGAGAGCTACTGATCAACTCAACCATTTTGTGTAGTTACTCCCTTTCAAACTGAACAGATCTAGCTATCATAACCGCTTACAGAGGCAGGTAGGTGCCACATTCTTCCAGGTTGAAGAAAGGAAAGAGAAACAAAAGTGTCTTATGTCTGAATCAGGAAATACAAGCTGCTGTTATCCTTAGGGATCCAGTAAGCCCAAACTGCTATTTAAAATATGCATTTTTGTTGGTTTACCATGAAGCTGTTTCTTGCAGAAACAGCAGAACAGAAATCCACCTCCAACCAGTCTGCAGCATCTTAGATCAGACACTCAAGATGATGTGGTCACTGCACGAAAACCACAGATGTTCAAGGTGCTTACTTTTGAAGGGACCCTTCCTCTAGAAGCCAGAGAAGAAAAAAACCCAGAGACTTGTGGAAAACGGGCCTAGCATCCAGTAACCTACCTTCTGTGCAAGCATCTCCTCCTTTTCCCAAGTTACAGTGACAACGTGAGCCACCTCGGTCATAGTCATTGACACAGAAGCTGTCTGTAGAACAGATGGTCTCATCACAGGACAGATCAAAGAAGCGTGCTACTGAAGACACACTGTTCCTCCTCAATGTCCTAGTTGTAGTAGTCTTCAGCGTGGTAGAAGGGACAGGTCGTGTGGTTGTAGGAGTGGATGTCGTGGGTTCTGAGGTGGTTGTAAGGAGCCTCGAAAGGAGCCTTGAACTGGACCCTGGAGTAACCTTGGTTTCAACGAGAAATTTTCTGTTGCCTCCTTTAATAGCAGGGAGTGGTCTGAACTAGTGTGAAATAAACAAACATAAATCCAGTATAACCTCCATGGAAATCAAAAAAACCCTTCTAAGATGCAGATTAGGAAAAAATCTCTGGTCATTCTCGTCAGAAAAAAAAATAGCCATTAAGACTGTTTCATCTGTGCATATAAAGTTCAGATATGAAATTTCACAAGATCAGACACTTTAAAATATTAACACTATAAAGAAATCAGAAATGTTGAAGCAAAACCTTGAAATTTACCTCTTCTATGTAAATGTCATAGTCTGAATCATCAATATCAAAACCTTCATCATCACCAATTAATGTGCCTGTGACATATCGATGCCCATAGCTTCCACTTCCTAGTTCTTCAGAGCCTGTAAAGACACAACTGGCATATTCAGTTCATAGATGTTTCTCTCTTGACACACAGCTCAAATAATATCTCTTCTTAACTCAGAACACTAAAATTCATTTCATACAGCAGATGTATCAGGTTGAAGAGGGTAAACAAGTAACATCTAAACAATTTAAAACAAACTAAGTGAAGGTCTTCATTCAGACATTTATGGTGGCTCCTTAACAAACTCAGGAGAAGCACAGTTTTGCAACTTGCCTTTTAGCTATCATTTTTTCAAGAAAATGCCTCTGAAATCCTGAACTTTTTCTAGTGCTTGCCACTTTTTAATAGCTATATTGCTTTTAGTCCACTGTTTCCTGGTATAAATACGCAGTTCCCTGCCTGTCCCAGTGATGAGTAAATCTTTTGCCTGAATTAATAAGAGCAGAAGTGTAGGTGGAATGGCAAAAGAAATGTATCTAGGAGCGATTCTCTGGGACATCCTGCTTAAAAATTTACCTGCTCCCACTGACTCCAACGCTTTTGAAAATAATATTCAAAGTGCATTTTTAGGCTTTTTTAAAAATGCAATTTAGCAGCTGGAAGGAAAAAAAAAAGCACAAATGTGACCTGCTGAGCTGCCTGCCTAAGGAACACTAAGAAGTGCTGCAGCACACTCAGGGCTGAGAATGTCAAGAAACACTAAGCTGATCAGCACAGAGAATATCTGTGTTTTTCCATACATTACACAGCAAATTTCTGCTTAAAATATGGCTAATGAAATTGAACAGAAACGACGATTTATGAGGAAAGGCAACCAGGGTAACTTCATCGCAACTGCTTCTTGTCACTTTGGTAAAGTTTACAATATGATGACTTTGGTAATCAGTGAAACAATGGACTTCATAAATTTGCTTTTTCATAAAATATTCTGTGGTCTTTTAAAAATAGCATTGCTATATTGCTATAAAAACTTGCTATTTTGCTTTACAAAGTCTGTGTAAGAGCTGACCATGTGTGCTTGCTTATCTTAGCAGCCATAAGCTGCCCATATTTTCTAGTCAGCAAGTCTTCCATATTATACCAAGGAGAGATGCAAAGTCTAGGTAGGTGAAGAACAGCTGCTACAGGAGACCTGTCAGCCCAGAAGATGCCACCTCACCACTTGATGGTCACGAGACTTTCACTACCACCACTAAGCAAAATAATGGAGCCAGTGAAAAACAATGGGGTTTGGCAAGACATTCAGATGGAGCAGTGTAGGCACGAAGTTTTTGTGCTATTTGAACTAGTGTCAATCATGTTAGCAATCTCCCACCTCCATGCAGAAAAATTGAGAGGTTTGGCCTCAAGTCAGATGGAAGAGCACTGCTCTCAATCTTTTTGTACTCTTGCTCTTCCACTACCATGACCGCAACCCAGAAATCCTGAGAATTATAAAATCAAACATATGTGCACCAGACATGAATGTGTACCCTGGCTGGTAAATCAGTCACCCACAATACACACTGTGCAAGTTATGTATCAATAGATTGCGCATGTTACATCAGCATACATAAAAATCAGAGGCCAATTAGTAGCTTTAATGAGGCATATACATTTCCCAATTAAAAAGCATTTTAATCAAAGAGAGAAGATATATGAGACTTTCCATTGTAATTCGTATACCTAACCATTTGTAAATAATACATTTTCACTGTGAATTAAACAGAATTAATCAGAAAAAAAACAGAGTTGGACTAATTGAGCTAAGCACAGAATCTACAGTTTTATAATTGATAAAGAAGTCAACAGGACAGGACATATCTCAATTATTTTTGGTAGAGGCTGCCCTCCGTGCAATTCCCTTGTGCAAATTCTTGTATATATGGCATCATTTACATTGCTAAAGCCACAGAAATGACTCCAAATTTACACCACTGTTATATGACTGTACACAAGCACATAGGCAAAGGATTAAACTGGAGAGGTAAACAAAGGTGTAAACTGGTCCCAAATCTGCTTTCATTGCGGGAAAAAAAAATATATATCAAAATGTGGACACAAATCTGTACTACTCCTTCTATTCACTTGAATAGTCATCAATATTAATCACCACCACAGGTGCTCTTTCTGCAGATAGGAAGGCTGGCTGCTTTTGTTCTACCCGTCACTGCACCAGGATCTTTCTTCCTTTGGCAATGTAGTTGTATAAGACATGTTTCTACAAAAGAATTACTGTACAAAACAGCAAACAGACACCATTATAAATGTGAACTGCCATTTGGAAAATATTTTAATGAAATGGAGCCCAGAATTAATTTATCTTCTAGCAAGCACGGCAAGTTTCAGATCAGTGGAATACCCTTATGTTTAATTAGGTCTGTAATATTCCTATCTGCTTTTAAACTTCAGTTGCTCATACTGTATGCCTATAACGAACTGTTTGATGTTGTTAACAAACAGTAAGCTTGATTTGAAACCACACTCAATTATTTTAATGGATAAATATATAATTTACTTAAGAATAACAGAGGACATAAAACTAGGGGTTGAGAAAAGGAAAAAAATGGATCTTTTTAAATCCCACATCACTAATCAATCATGTGTCAAGGAAAACAATACCATCTGTATTCAGACAAACTGAGACACATAAATTCTATTTTCTAATTTAGAGGTCACGAGTCACAGAATAAACACCTGTTAGTGCAAATTCTATCTGTTTTTTTTTTTTTTTTTCTCAAGCAAACTTTCTGTTCGAGTAACGGGATTTTAGTTGATAAGAATGGCAGGAATGAAACAATAGAGGGAATGAAGTATCTTTATTTTCACATATCATCAGAAAATGTTAAGTCTCAAATTTCCTCTCAAACATACTTTTTTTCATGTATATACCTGATTTTAAAGCCATGACAGTTTTACACAACTCTCTCGATTTGAGTGGAGTTGTCACTAAACTGCATCAACACCCACCAGCACACAATCAGACCTGCTAACTTAGAAATCAGCAGTTCCTAAAGTAAAAGGTATCCCCCTTTCATCTTGTAGACCAAAACGTTCCATGCCCTCCCAATAGAAGACTTTGGGAGACAAAATGTACTCACTATTTTAAATCAGACAATGATTCTTTTTATGTTATTGAACTGGTACAACATTTGCAGCCTGGAGAGAGCAAAGAAGGTATGTCTTATTGTGGTTGGTAGAAAAGACTGCTTTGAGATCCTTCTTCAAAGACGTTCAGGATATAAGTTTGGCATTATCAGGAAAAGTGCAACTTCAGAAGGTGTCCTAATATCCACAGGTCTCTGATATGGTCCAGATCCTCCCTTTCAATCTCTGACACCTGCTGACAGCGTCAGCCAGGACTGTCTATATTACTCTATGGGATGATTTGCAAGCAATTTAGGTAAAGCATAATGCACCTGGAAGCATGTGGAGATGTACCCTCATTTATACAGGTCAGCATACACAGACATGAGACTATGCAACATCGAACTGGGTTTTCTGCCATCCTGTTCTCTTCCTTACATTTGTTGCTGGTTTATTGGATGTGACATGATTCCCACATGTGGCATGATGCAACTAAACAATAAAATAAACAGAAAGCATAGAAGCTTAGGGGACTCTCTGCACAGAAACCCACCTGTCAGCCTATATTACACGGAAGAGTACTCCATATTTTAGGTGGAGAGTTAACCTCAGAACCATTGACAGAGAAAATTAAGCAGGCTAGTGCTTTGCAAATACCAAAACAATGACTGCAGAGATCGCAGGCATGCTATATCTCATGAAATCACCATTTCAGCGTACAAGGACATTGAGGATATTTAAGATCCAGTTTCTTCCAAACAGTCAAGGATTAACTTAAGTCAAAAAAAATCTTTCTCAAAACAAATAGAAAGCCCCATGAACTTTGCTTTGCCACTTAGGTACCACTGGCATATTGAGCAGAATTCATGGGCAGGAGGTAGACCACAGAGTACTGCAAAGTGGATGGATTAAACAGACGTGTTAACAGGACAATCAATGTCATGCAGAAGACCAAATGGGTCTAATTTCTAAATACGCCAGGGTTATTTCTATCTGATTCGGTTCCTGCCAGTGACTCACACTGTGGCATTACATATTCATAGAATCATAGAATCGTTAAGGTTGGAAGGAACCCCTAGACGTCATCCAGTCCAACCCCCCTGCACACGCAGGGTCACCTAGAGCACGTGGCACAGGACTGCGTCCAAGCGGGTTTGGAAGATCTTCAGACAAGGAGACTCCACAACCTCTCTGGGCAGCCTGTGCCAGTGCTCTGTCATTGCTTGGCTCATCTCTTGCTTTTTGTCTCTGTCTATTTAATGGGGACAGAAAACACAAATCCTGCCTTCATAAAGCAGGAGAGATCTCTGGGAAACAGTTCTGTAGAAATCATTCTCCATTTTCCATTTTTAAGGTTCATCATGATCACCATCGACATCAAGGTTTTACCCTAAGAGATTTCCTGTGCCTGAGACTCAGCTGACACATTCAAGCACCATGCTTCTTTTTCGGTATAAGCCAGAGATAGAGATGCCTCCAATTGGGAGACGTCAGGTTTTGATGCCTAGGTCCTGAGGAAGGGATGTAAACAGATTAAGCAGGTATTTTTGCCATGTTTACTGTGGAGACAACCAGAAGGGTATTTTTAACAGAGCACAGGGTATTTTTAATGGAGTACGCTTCCTCTGCTGGTCGGGCACAGCCCAACTGTTAACCTTAGGGCATAGTGCAAACCCCATCTGTTTCCCCAGGAGATGGACATTTAAGTGATGCAGATGACGCATGACTCTGCAGGATAATTTATTACTTTTGCTGTTACTAAACTTGATATGTGAAATCTTCTGGTTTTAAGTCAGTTGTCTATGACACCCTGAAAGATTTCATACTGCAAGAAAATAAACAAAAATATAACCAAAACACCTGTAGTGAACATCTGTAATTAAGAAATGCACAGAAATTGATTTAAGCAAAACATTGCTTCATTTCCTTCCATAACAAAATGAAACCAAGTCATAAATAAATGAAAATCCCTGGGGAACTTTGCCATCTCCTTCCTCCCTCAAAATGGATCAATGTAACATAAACCAAGCATGCATTTTTTATTAAGTTAGGGGGTAACTATGTTGGTAATCAAGGCCACATGTTCTGCTTGCAAGGATCTTGGGAGGTCTGTCACATTAGGTGATACAGTTGCAGCCCTGTAGGAGAATATTTGAGTAAACATAGCCAACATTTTCTTATGATGACCTGAAGCACTGCATAGCCAGGAGTACTGCAAATCAAGTCACATTTGAAACCAAAGTATGAGAATCATACCTTAGAATGATACAAGTCCAATGTCCCATGTTCACAGAGGTCAGTGCAGGACAAGCTCCCGGATAACATGGACTCAGTGTCTGTTGAACTCACTTGCCCATAAGAGGCACCAAGAGATTTTTCAACAGGGCCACTGAAGGGACACTGTAGTTGAGGTAACATTGGGAATTGGATTTACAGGTAAAAGGAGCATCAGAAAGTCAATAACTATGTCAAAATAAGTATAAAACAATCCAAGATACAGAAGAATAAAGGTTACAATCTTTTGAATGTAAACATATCAATGACCTTAGCACCAGTACTATGTGGACTAAATGTAACCCAAAGGAATCAGCCAGTGCAGTGTCTGAACAAAGACAAATGCAAGGTCCTGCACTTAGGCAGGAATAACCCCAGACAGCAGTACAGGCTGGGGACCAACCTTCTGGAGAGCAGCTCTGCAGAGAGGGACCTGGATGTCATGGTGGATGACAAGTTGACCATGAGGCAGCAATGTGCCCTCGTGGCCAAGAAGGCCAATGGGATCCTGGGGTGCATTAAGAAGAGCATCTCCAGCAGGTCAAGGGAGGTGATCCTGCCCCTCTACTCAGCCCTGGTGAGGCCACATGTGGAGTATTGTGTCCAGTTCTGGGCCCCACAGCACAAAAGGGATGTGGAGCTGCTGGAGAGAGTCCAGCGCAGGGCCACAAGGATGATCAGGGGCCTGGAACATCTGCCCTATGAGGAGAGGCTGAGGGAGCTGGGCCTGTTCAGCCTGGAGAAGAGAAGGCTGAGAGGGGATCTAATCAGTGTCTATAAGTACCTCCAGGGAGGGAGTGCAGAGGATGAAGCCAGGTTCTTTTCATTGGTGACCAGCAATAGAACTGGAGGCCACAAATTGAAGCACCAAAAGTTCCACAGGCTGCCCAGAGAGTTTATGGAGTCTCCTTCTCTGGAGATTCTCAAAACCCACTTGGACGCAGTCCTGTGCCACGTGCTCTAGGTGACCCTGCGTGTGCAGGGGGTTTGGACTAGATGACCTCTAGAGGTCCCTTCCAACCTTCAGCATTCTATGATTCTATGATTCTATGCCAGCCTCCCAAGATACTTCAGGCATTTCTGAGGAAATACATTCATAAATGGTCAGAAAATAGCACTCAAGATTTGCGATCTGCTTCACTATTCAGATAAAAAGAGGAGTGGTAGCAATAAGGTTGGTGGTAGTTCTTGTGGTGTGCACGCTAAAGAACAAAGGTGTCTTAGTTTCAGACACACCAACTGCCTGGCGCCTCTATATGTTCTTTTCAGCAATAGCAGGTGACTATGAAGTTTCTATTGCATTTGATGCTATCTGAGATTCAGGTACCTGGGACATCCCCCTGGGGCTCTTAGGTTATCTGGGAGACACATAGGAAACATATACCTTCTTGCTGTGACAGCTGGAAACTAGCTGGTACACGCTAAGGGACCTCAAATTCACTGCATGTCTATATTCAAGCAAATGTATTTAATGATTAACTGGACAAAAGAAGGTAGGTAACCACTGGCTACTTGGCTACCAGGAGGATGTAGAGATTTCACCACTTGCAGATACAGAGTGTGTAGCAAGTTTTATTTCATTGCCCCTAAACATATGTATGTTTTCTGTCACAGTCAACTTTTCAATAGCTGAAATCAGCGTTCATTATTTTTTGAGTGCTTGGGGAAAAAAAAAACAGTTGATCAGGTTATGCACTGCTTTCATCAACATTTCTTTTGCAAAAGCAGCTTAAATTTTCTATGAAAGAATGGCATACTGTGTAACGGGTTACCATCAAACCAGTTTCTTATCCAGACTTCGTATAATAAAGCCAAGTGGCAGTTACTATACTTAGTTGTAGTCTTCCTTCATGAAGACATAGTCATTCCAAGTTCCACTGATAACTGTACTTGTTTTAAAGGCATCTTGAAAAAGCACTTTCCAGTTCTCAAGCCTGCAGGTGGCAAATTTCTTTCATATAGCACTGCAGTAATAAGTCTTATATGAAGAATAGCCCGTCCTCACTAGCAGAGCTAAACTTTGTCTTTTCTAAGCAAAGAATATAGACATTCATGTACAAAGATAAACAGGATACAAAGGAACACACAAACGAGTCCAAGGCAGAGGAATCTGACCCTTAAGTATCTAAAGGCCAAGAAACCCAGGAGAAAGCTGCACCTTCACAGTTTTGCAAACTTTTGGTTCAGAAATTAAACAGCAGCCACCAACTTTATGTAAACTGCTCAAGTGATTCAGTTTATGACAGTGAAAAAAAAAAAAGATAAAAACTGCCATAATGGCATCACTGAGAACATGGAATTTTAAGACAGAGAATATAAAAAATATAAAGATAGGCAGTTTGGAAATAAATTCTTAGTGGCTTAAAATGTTCACGAAACAATGGTTCACATTTCTGCAGCATGCAAATTGCTCTTCCAGAGCTATCTGAATATCATCTGCTCATTTTCTGTTAATTAAGGATGATTTGCATTTTAAGCACATAGGTGAGAAAAAGAAAAAAAATACCAGTTTTGTTGCACTTTTTTATAATTCATTAATCTGTTAAAATTATATCCAGGCATTTTATTGCCTCGTATTCTACAAATGCCTTCAAAACTGGAACTTAGAAGTACTGAAATCTTCCAGCACGGTTTGCCACATTAAGGATATGGTTTATATAGTCCTCACCAGCTTTGGCCCTGCTGCCTATCTTGACTCTGCTTTGTGCCATGGTGTTTTTCACAGTGTAAAAGTCCTGTACTTTGTGCAATTCCCAAAGGCCTGTGTCAGCTTGGCTGGGATCCTCAGACACTGCTATTTGAGGGTAGTGAAGGGCAGTAAGATTCCAAGTCAGCTCAAGACTGGCACTGTCAGGAGGATCAAGCTCTGATGAAGGAAATGTCTGCAGGACATTGCTTTGGTCTTTCTGAGTTTCTTGAATGATACATGAAATATATACAGTTCCATTTTAAGAAACTGTGAAAAAAGATGAACAATAGACTTACTCCTCTTATTTCTCCCCACGAGATTCAGTTATCAATTCTGCATTAAGCCAGCACAAACATCAGTAAGCCAAAACCAAGAACACCTGGCAATGACCTCCTGAGCAGAGAAATGGCAGGAGAGTGCTGATGACTGGAACACTTCAGATTTTCATCGGTGACTCAACTTTTGTAGGATGCACCAGAAACAGGAATGAGAGGTCTACCCCAGTTCTGAGGGAGAACCTGCTTCCACCAGTGCCCTGTAAAGGCTGCTCTTGATCTGTAGCTTTAGCTCTGAAAAGGCAATTCTACTTACTGAATGTGCGGACGACATCGCTTGGTGTGCTGGGGAGGCTGGATCCATAGGAATTTGCTGCTCGAATGGCAAACTGATATTTGGTATTTGGGAGAAGCCCCTTGAGAACCATGGACTCCATCTGGATCTGCTCCCTTATTACTGTCCAATTGCTGTCAAGATCTGGCCTTCAGGAACAAAAAAATCAAGATCATAAATAATTAAAGCTGTCTGTGTAAGTTAATTGCCTTTTAACTTTCCAGGGAAATACAGGAAATAAATGAGAAATCAGCTTGCTAAACCACAACAAAAATCATTCATTCTTAAGGGGCCAGACTGTGCAAGAATTAGGAGCTAAGAAGACTGTGATAATGGAACACTGTAGTATAGAGTGTTATGGAAACACTATTTGGATTTCGATTAAAGCCAAGAAGATGGTTCAGAAGAGTTTGACCAATCAGGTTCTCACAATCTTTTTTTTTTTTCTTTTCTTTTTATGTCCAGTAAAAGTATATTACCAGCAGTTCCAAATCCCATAACTGTCTACAGTAAAGAATACATCAGAATACATGGAGGAAATTTATTCCTAAAAGCTTGTGTCCTAACGTCAGCGAGTATCTTCAAACATACATAGGACAAGAATCTAACGTTTGATTTACCAGGCAGCCAAATTAATCCAGCCACACTAGAAAATCTGGATCCAAATGCTTCTCCCCAAAAATGAGAAAAATACTGAATAATAATGGAGAGGACATAGTCTATGTACATGGATTTTGCAGCAAAATTCCCATGCCTGGTTTTGGGCAATGCCTGTTTAAATCCTGATGCACATAACAAGCTGTCTGCCAATAATGGCTCACTCTGAGCACTGTTATAATCCATTTAAAATCTGTATAATCATCCACACAGCAATTTGATTTGAACAACAGTCTAGGGAAACTGAAAATGCTGAAGTTTATATGCATAAGAATATCTGAAAGGGAAAGACTAATTCAAACACTCTGAGAAAGTGTTCTGATGATACTTTCACACCACTTCTAAGCTCTCTAAAAGTGATCTCTTCTAATCAAAGAGGAAAACTTGTGAAGGAAGCATATACACATAAACAAAATAGAAAATATAAACATTAAGTTTAGGCCATCCAAAATAATCAAAATGAAGCCTATGAAAGTAAAATAGGCTTTGACCTTTCAGATCAAATTATTCTAGTGGCCTTTGCTAAGATGTTCTTGTGATATTTATTACAGGAAATAACCTCCAAGTGCTCCCTGGATCTACCAGTGTTTACACAGGACTTCCTGCAAATGTGCCCAACAGTCTTTCAGTGAAAATTATAGCACAGAGCAGACATTTTGTGTTTGTTTATTTGCAGCTGGAAGGAACTGCCAGAGTTAACGTGTGTTTTCTTTTACCAGTCAATACAAGATTTATTGATCACTGAGGTCTCACTTCTGTGTGCCTCCCAACTGCCAGCCTGCTATGCAGCAGCACACAGCATGTGAATATTACTTTATCTCACTAACGGTAAAAATAAAATCAGACAAACAAGATGTAATGACAACTAAGCATCCTGTCCTAAGTCACCCTCCATCACCATTCCCTGGTAGACAGGCCATTTATTTGGCTACGCTTCTGTTCTTTCCCCTTCTCTGAGCTTTCTTTGCTTGGACCAAAAGGAAAATGTTTAGGATTTTTCAAGTGAAAGCTGTTCCCATCACTGGGGACATTTGTAGCTTTTGTAGCATTTTCCGTTTTCCTATGCACATCCTTGTTTGGCTCTAGTTACAAACCAAAGAATTTCTACTAGCTCAAAAACTGCTTTATAGTCACTTTACAGCAGATACTGCTGGTCTGCACCAGGCTGGGAGAGGGAATACTAAGGAGATCTGTGCACTACAAAGAGATTCAGGAGATAATGTGCAATCTCCACAAACCGTCAGCTAACCTGGACTTTACTGATTGCCTCTTGCAAGACTTCCTCCTGGAGAAGGGAATAATAAAGGAAATTTCTACAAACGTGTAAGTATCTTCAGCTGAAGGAGGAATGATGAGATTTATCACTTTTGCTATTTTTTCAGAACGCTGCCTGTGCGAATAAATCTGGGCAACATGATAAAATAGCAAACACATGGGGAGAGAATACAATAAACTCAGCTGGCTAGTATGTTCCCAGTGAGCCAACTTCCATATTTCCTAAACTCTAAGTGTTTTGCTGAAATATATCTCAGTTGTCCTTCTTGCATGAGGTTTTAGTTTATATCAACTTTTACATCAAACAGCTCTTTTAGAGAGAATGATCCCACTTTTCCAGACTTTCCATAGAGCTACATTCCCTGGAAAGGGGATGTTCTTGCCATGCACATGCACCATGAGCTCCCAGGACTGACTGCTCTGTACCACATACCTGGGCACATGGATATCTGCATACTTCCACAGGCATTTTTGCTCTTTACGTTGTAGACATGTATCTCCAATGCAGAAATATAATGCATTAAGAATTTGGCCAAGAACAAAGGCAGTGCATTCTTAAAATACTAAACATAGGGGTAGTCGTTAAGATCAGGCAGATATAAACTAAGGGTAGAATGCTGTTGTTAAAATACTAAGATTATTGCTTTATATTATAATCTATGGACAGATTCAAATTAAGAAAGGAAATCTTTCTGATGCAGAGAACTTCAATTTCACACTCACTCAAACTTACTTTAAAAATGACCTGGAAATTATTTATCAGAGTGAAGACATCTGCTAATAATTTATTAACCTCTGCTAGAAATCTATTAACCTATCTAATATTTATTATTATTTAACTTTATCGTGACAATTTCTACTAAAAAAAAAAAGTAAGGCCAACACTGGAGAAAAAAAAAAAAGAAATTAGACTGCTTTCTAACTTCTAACTTCATTCTTTTTATAAGTCTTATTCTGATGCTGTCTAATACTGTTTTACATGTGTCCTTAGTTTTACGTCTTTACTTCCTCTTTCTTTGATTATCTTTGCAGGTACTTAATCCTCACGAGAAGTGAGGTAGATGTTGAGATACATGTGTGTTTTCCATGCATTAATCAGGAAATCTGTATTAAAAGGTATTTTTCTTTGGTGCTACGAGATGCCTCTCCCTTGAGGAGCCTTGTTAAGTGTTCTTTGCAAAAGAAAGCAAACACTGAACCACTGCTGACATGTCAGGATTTGAAGGTTCACAGCTGAAGTACATGAAAGGAAATATATTTCCCACAAGAAAATATAATGTTTCCAGTGTTCAGTTTTGCTCTGTGCTGGAATGAAAAACTAAAATACTGAAATAATTTCTACTGAGAAAAAGCCAAAGTATTCTTTAGATGTTTTGATCAAAATGAAGGAGGAGCTATTCAAATACAACTACCTGATTGATGCAGCACTGGAGACAGATTATTCAACACAGAGTGAATTTAGTGGATGAAACTTTCTGAGGAGAGGAGGGGGAAAAGACATGAAACTTACAAAGAAATCTGCTGAAGTCACTACACTTAATTTGCTCCAACCCAGCTTCCATATACTGAGAAATCCTTCCAGCTATATCAGCAGGACCAACCTAGTTCATTGCAGCACAAGTTTCTCTCATTGCTACTGAGATGGTGAAAAGTTTTTCCCCTTTGCCAAGACTCATATTAAAGCTATTGAGTCTGTCTAGCTAGCAAGCAGATGAAAAGTAAACACACTACTCCCATTATAAGATGCACTGCTGAAATACTTTGTGGTTCTGTAGAAGGTAGTTAGCTGCAAAAATTGCTAAACTGGTCTCTGAATTTAGAAGTCTGGCTAGGCATTGAATAGACTAGAAGTAAATATAATTCATGTGAAAATGACCAAGATATTTTTGAAAATTAAGTTATTTTTACAATTTCTTTAGAGGAGAAAGAGAAAACAAACCAGCAAATCTAAGTGCATTGTCTTGCTTCAGGGGTCTTGCATAAGAATTATTTCATCAGAAAATATTCCTCAGTATAAACCAACATAAACCAATAGAGTAATAATACTGCTAGCTTCCAAAGACATCATTAGTTATTTGGGCTCTAATACTCTTTTTTTCCACATTCTGTAGAAGTGTTTCACTCTCCTAATTTTAAGTACTCAGCCACTTTCGGAGCCTGGTTTCCTTAGAGTCCTCCTATAGGCAGAATAGAGTTGGGCAAGCCCACAGCGTGAGTCAGCACAGGGTACCCTATACCTGAAACAGTCTGGGGCTCTCCACTACCTATAGCAACCTGAGAGGGATGCTCTAGAGACCTGAAAAATCCCAGAGAAGTGTCTAAAGGAAAGCCCTAATTTATAGTCATCAAAGAGCAGAATCACACGGAAGGATCTGGATTAGATTCTAATGTGCAAGTAATTAATACATTAATAGATTGAATTTTCATGAGACTTTAAGCCTACCACTGTTCAAAAGAGTATTTTTCCCTTGTCTTAATCTCCCATCATTTTTTCTTTGTTTCTTTTTGTTTTTTTTTTTGTTTCTTAATGTAAAAGTGATAAAATTACTTCTATGGGAACTAACATGATTGAAACAATGTCATCATTTCTAGCTGTTGGTGCTATTGGTATATCCACACCCAAAGAAATTATAGATGACATAAAAACATTAATAATCTTGCAAAAGCACAGTATCATACTGGAATTGTATTTATTTGATATAAGTGGACTTAATTTCAAATTTGCTTGACTGGTTTTGTGTTTTTGTTGTTGTTATTGTTTTTTTTTTAATATAGTTTTAACCTCAATGGCTTTTACTGCTGTTAATATACCTCAAGGTATTTTAGCTTTAAAACTATATGCAATTTCAGAAGACAATGAAGCTTAAAGTTAAATCTTTACCTCTAACTGCCATTAGTGTTTATGGCTCATTGAACTTTCTCCAAATACGTGGACTCAGGCTTCCAAATCAAAAACAACATAATCCCAAAATTAACAAATACACTTTAAGCTTAGCTTTAAACCTCAAACTAAACAGTGCTATCAAAACATTGTGCTGTTAGCAAGTGCTTTCCCAAAGTCTAAAAAAAAAGAGAGACACTGAAATTTCGGTTACTCGTCTCCCTTGATTTAAACAGAGAAGGCAACTTTCTGCTCTCTGTCTGAACAAAAACATTGAAGGGTGCAATTGCAATGTATCAGATGGAGGTTATGATGCCCACTTCTGTTAGCAACCCAGTATGTTTATGAAGAAGTGTACAAAAACTCCACTTTCCAGGCTGAAGAATGAAAAAGATAGAAATGCAATCACTCAGAATTTAGCAAAAACCCTTTCCAATCCACTGAGTGAATCTGAACCAAGAGATGAGAAAAAGATTCAAGTAACCATTATGTTGCAAAATAGACAATGGAGAAATTTCATGGTAATTCCATGGCAGAATTTACATGTTGACCATTATACATCTTTAGTTCTCATATCCTGCCTCTAAGTGAAAAAATATTATAGGGCTTCTCAAGAAATGCGGGGCTCTCTGATTCAAACAAAAAGCGCAAATTAAGTTCACAAGTAGGCTTCCAGCCTGGGCATTCTTTTCACTATGCCTATATTCTCCAAGCTGTAATCATATTTAAAGCATTGACAATCAATAGCTTTTTCTACCATTTTTTACAACAATTCATTAAAAAAAAGGAATGTATTTTTCCAAAGAAGGATTTAATTTGACCTTTACAGCTCAGAGTAATTAAGGAAGAAATTCTCTCTTCTTATTCACCAGCCTCAAGTAAAATTTGTCATCAAATGTTCACCCAAGTATTAAACTTTAAAAGATTGAATATTGCATTCATTGAAAGGGTAAGTCCATGAAGATAGATATCTTTGTATGCAAATATTAGCTTATACAAGTTAATGAACACATTTGTGCATGCAAATACAATCATCAGCTTCTGATCATTGAGATGTATCTTATAAAAGCAACTCAAATAACATCTTTTCATTCATGACAGCTCCTCAAATTGCAATTCTATTATTATAAATTTTGAAGACTTTAACATTAAAAAAAATGGGTCATTATTTCCGGCAAGCAGTAACATTAGGAAAATGAGGTGCATCTGAATCCTGCAAGCTCAAGACTCAAAATACTTTTCAGCTAAAAGTACCCAACATACTGATTTAGCAATTCCTGGATTTATTCTGATAGTAGCTAAGGGTACATCAGCTCTGCGGTACCACTCTCACCCGATTGTTTTCTCAGCGTGATTTAACAGTGTTTGAACTACAAGGTAGATTTAAAATTTTATTTACCCAGACTTTTATTAGATTGAGCATAATAAGTGAAGATTTTTTTTCCAAATATAAGGAAAGTCTTATTGCTGATTTTACATCTATTTAGATTATTTCTGGCTATGACTTTGTTTTTTCATAGTAATTCAACACACACTGAGAGTGAAAACTAATGTACTATATTCAATGAGTAAACAAACAAGGAAAAGAATCTGTATTTAGTTTAATAACAGAGTTTAGGTAAAAAAGTAGTATACATTGAAAATCTAATTCCACGGTTATACTTGCCTGATAAATTCCACCATATAGTACTGGCTTGGAGAACTTCCTTCACTGACTCCAGGTTTCCAGGACAGTGCGACTTCGGAATCAGAAACAACAACAATCTGGGGCTGGTAGGGTGGTGCAGGGGGCATGCACTTACCTAAGCCAAAAGAATTGCATTAGAGAAGACTTTAAAGCACATAAACCCTCAACAACCATAGACTTAGTAAAATTTGTAGGCTTTTCTGCTTGTTCTGTTGCCTCTCTAAAAACTCAAGCAGCTGAAAGTGTAATAGCGAAATATTACCAAACTGCACATTTAGGTGTGAGCGATTAGCTATGTTGCAGGTGCAACATATACCAGTGAAAGGAGAAAACTTTCTCCAAGGGTCCAGTAGGTCCATAAGGCATCCCAAGCATAATGGCTTTTATTGTTTTAAATCATTAATAATGTTTTTGACCATGTTGCCATCACAGCCACTTCCTGCTATCTGATTACTGCTGGCTTTGAGCAAAGAGGGGTTTCAGCATGGTCTGTTTTTATCTGACAGAACAGTGAAACCTCTTGGCTTGACTCTGCCCCACTACTTTTGCAAAAAGGACATATGTACAAGGATTTTTACCTGGAGATAAGGTGGTTACGTGTCTGGGTATGCTGGGTCTTCCTTTTCCTGCCCAACCATATGCTCCAACACTAACACGATGTGTAGTGCCCGGTTTTAAATCACCAATAACAACTTCCTACCACAGTCAAAAGAAAACAAGACAGAAATACCGTGAAAGTTATTCCATGCAGCTCAAAATGACACTGTGTGCTGGGTTGCTGGGATTTTACATGATATTTTCCATGTAGTCTCCTAGGAGAACTGTACCAATTCCAGTCCATCTCAGAAACACTAAAAACAAACAAGATCACATGTTTCCTGTCGAGGTGCAGCTTTACCCCAGAGAAATCTATAGGGCTGACCTAGACCCAGGTTTCAGAATAATTCATGGAGTTGCAGATAGTTTACATTTGCTCTCATGTTTTTGCTGGTAGAGTTAAATTCACATACTGTTCCCTTCCTTGAGCCAATTGCTGACATTCCTAAAGAGTTTGGATCATTTTTATGTATGTATATGTACCCAGAGACAGTAGAAGCTTCTGAGAATGAAGCTACATATAACAGCAAGAGTTGATGTTCTTTAATTTCAAATTCATCAGAGACCAATTGCCTCATAATTTTCTTAGCCTGGACTTGAAACAAGTGGGTCACTTCAAGAGAGGGCAGAGATACTTTTGTCTTCCTGCCACAAACATAGGATGTCAACTACTACAAGGAAGGTGATGCTCACTTCCACATGAAGAGGAATGTGCAATACTCTTCACTGGAGCCTGCTGAAATCTCCCAAATATTAGCAAGTAGCACACAAACCCTTATATCACTGCCTGGTCCAAATAGCATGGATCAGCTTCAGACTTTTAGATCTGGTCCTGAACAGAGCATGTGTATGTGTACATGAAAATTCAGAATCCTTTATCTGTAGCATAGAGAGTGCAAATTCCAGATTTAAGGATTTTGACAGTATAGGCAAATAAGCATAAAATATGTGGCTTAGGGTCTGATATATTTTGATGTGAAGAAATGTAATTCTATAGTACAAATGTACTTCTACATTGTAAAGAATGTTTTATCAACAGTTTTCCCTCTATTTCTCTTTCTTCAGTATTAAAAATGGCATTCACAATGCATGGGAAAATGCAGAGGACTCCTTTTTCTTTAAGCTGGAACAGACCTGAAACCTGCATTTCCAAGTGCAGCAAAATAGTATACAATCCTAAAATTTTATTTTCTGAGAAGTTTCCTTATGATGTTCTCTCAGACAAACTTTCCGTCCCTGTTTTTTGGGAGTGTATTGTAATACAATATTGCTCAGCAGCACTCTGCCATCTATCATTTCTCTAACTGTGGTTTTGGATCCCCAGTATTCATTTCCAATTAACTTGGAATGCTTGCCTATTATCCTGTTTTTTCCATCCTTCACCCTTGATCTGCTTGAACGATTTGGATTCATCTGACAAAGATGATAACACTGCTGAAAACCAAATGTTCAGAAAGAGGCAGCAAGACCACTCAGACAAAAAAGGTTGATCTGGTTCTTTCAGTCGCACAAAAAAAAAAAAAAAAAAAAAAAAAAAAGAATCTTTTAAAATGTGATTGTTAAAGTCAGCTGCTGAAAACCCTGCATCTCCTTGCTGATGATATTGATTATCCTGCTCCTGCATCTCCATCGTCCATGCCATATTGTTCCTCTGTATTTAACCTGTGCACATGAATTCCTGCAGCATCCCTCTTTGTTACATTAATTCTCATGAAGAATTAATTTCTTCATCATATGCCACATGACTTTAAAACTTTTGAGGAAACTGTGCTCAGCAGATAATGGGATATGGCTGTCTTTGTCTGACATTTCTACCTCCAGACTCAAGTCTGTTATAAGATCAACTGCATGAATCTCATTTACTGCAAAGCCAATCAGGATCAAATGCTAGTATCTATTAGGGCATCAAAGTTTACTGTTTATCCTCAAAACCTCAGCCAAGAGCTCTCTAAAGCGTCTGTTTGCCTGGCTGGTAATGTCCTCTCCATGAACACAGAGCTGGGCATACAGTGGGTATCTTTGAAATCAAGTATATTTAATCTTCCAGGACAGAGACTTTAGTGAATGTGTAAATATTTGGGGCATCATTAGACTACCTTCTCCATGGCCATCTCTCCTGCAGGAACTGTTTAGGCAGACAGTTTTAGGGAATATTCCCCACACACCAAGGACAGTGTGGAATTTGGTTCTGGAGAAGTGTATCTCCTTTTACCGCATTGTCTGAGGGGTAAAATATGTTGTTCCTTCTGCTTGTGTTTATGCCTCAAATCCAGGTGTTATGTATCTCAGAAGACAGAGTGGACTCATGGACTTTGGGTAACACATGGAAGGGATGAGTCAATTTTGTAGCTTTCCTTTTCACTCTCTCCCACTTGCCTTCTATCTTTTTAAAGCATGAGATCGAAACGTGGACATTATATTCCAGATGGAGCTTTACTGTTACCAGCTGTACTTTCTTGTCTTAAATACGACATTCTTGCTAGGATCCTGTGAAATGACATTTGCAAGCTCACTCTCTTGAATACAGTGAGGTAATGTGATTGTGTAGTTGAGTCAACCATGTACAAGAACCACATAGCCCTCCTGAAACTGGAAAGAAGGTCTTCATTTGTCAGACAGTCTGTCCTTCCCTCAACAATACCAATAAAACTGTTTGAGAAGTTGTGTGATAAACCAGCTTGCAGAAATTATTTGGATTATGAATTATTTTTCAAATAAAACCTTTTTTTTCCTTTCTTTTTGTTGCACTGCACCTGCGGAAACCAACTGTAATGATATCTTCATCCCTTGGTACCTCCTTCCCCACACTAACAGTTTCAGACAGTCACTCCCATTTTGTACTCGTGTTTTTTGGTCACTTGATAGGGAGCACTGTTGTTCTCCATAGCTCCATACCAGACCTAAAATATTCCACTTTTAATATCTGATGTATTTTTTATTTAATATACATTTGTATACAACTTCATAACAAATCATATACCCAGTAGAACAACAGCATTTGCACTTTTCCACATTGCTCTCATTTATATGTTTACATTATGAAATGATTATTACACTGATATAATAGATTATCTAATTGCTAATGAATAGATGCACTACTGCATGCATGCATACACACAAACAGGTGATCCAGTGCAGCTCTCATTACAAGTCTCACACAACTCAGAGCGGCTTCTGAGCAGGCAGTAGAGACATTACCATATCAGTATGGGAGGTTAGGGGTAGAAAGACAAATAACACAGCCTTAACCACAAAACTTGTGGATTTCTGTTGTGTTTGGTATGAATATAACAGAAAGCATTTCAGCAAGAACATCACTTCCTGAGGATTAATGACAGCTGAGATCCGATTAATCCCAGTCGGTTTTACAGTTCCACGAGTACCCCTCAGAAATATTATTTTCATCAAGTAGAAAAAGCAGTCCAGCATGGAACCCCAACTCTGAAACATCATAATCCAAACTTGGCTTAACTGAGATAGAACCAGACAGTCCTGGTTCGAGAACGTCCTGGACGCTGGCCTCCTATAGTCCAATCAAATTACTCATGTTTCTGGCAAGGAAAGGCCCGCAAGATCAGCTGGCTCCACATGATTTTTCCATTTCGAGATCAGATTTCAGAAGAAAAGTTTACAAGAGGTTATTCATTTTAGGGGTTTCATTAGATGTGGAAATCATGGCCCTCACGTTACCCTGAACTGAGCACCGCTTGCTAGTTACCTCCCTCCTAATGAGCTGGATCCATTTACTGTTCACAGGAAGCAGAATGGACTGAGTACAGGACTGGAAATAATTAATATCTGAATAATTCACCAGCTACAAAGCCACTGAAAGGGTATTTCTTTTAAACTTATTACGTAAGATTTGTTAGTCTCCCACTCCTTCCTCCTGTGCGTTCATTTGGCCTGCACATGTTTCTATAGATCTTTCTCCTCTCCTCTCTCTGGACAGCTTCAGATATTTTCCTCTCTGGCAACTCCTGCACTTCTGGATGCTTTGTCTTTTTCCCATTATGGTGGCTCTGATTCCTGTCTGCTGCAAGTTTTCACTGCCTGAATTTATCTCGTTCTTACACACATCTCCTCAAGCAAAATAAGGTATCTGTAAATATTTTTGATGACTGGCAGAAAAGATTACCCATTTCTAAAATGGAAACTGGTATACCTGCAAAAATATACCTTAACAGAGCATTTCTTTATCTCTACATTTTGAGTATGAGCTATTTATCACATTCTCACTATGAAAGACTCTGTGTAAGTGATAAGTAGAATCAACATTTGAGATCAATATGGAAACATTTTAGTGCGTGAATCTGTGGAAAGGCAGAATCAGGATGTTCAGTATTATTTGAAATCACAGCTGTTAGAGTTTAGGAGAAGGAATACTTACAAAAACTGCTTGTCCTTCAAGATGACCCTGGGAAAAAGTGAAATAGGACTTAGTAACGAAGCATCGTATGAAGAAAGTGATGGAAAAAGCACATAAATAATGGGTCAGTGAAGTAAAACATGGACAATGTTGCATCATATAATATTCTTTGTTGCTGCTACTCATCTGTGTGAGTACTGGACACAGAATCTGTTCTCCCAAGGAGTAAGAATTGCTGTTGTCAGGATTAAGATAAAAAAGAATGTGCTGTTTGATCTCTATTGGCATTACCAGCAAGAATTTTTTCGGAAGAAAAAAAAAAAGAAATACAGAGATAAACATCAGAAGGGATAAAATAATGCACAAATAAAGAAATAATTTATCATGACAATGAGACTGACTCATTCATTATAATCTCCAAAACCTACAGGAGTCAGAACTAACAATACCGTGACCAAAAAATGCATGAAACAGGTAAATTCCTCTCATTCATGCTTCCCATAGGGAAGGTTTCTGAGCACTGTCCAACATAGATTAGAGGATATCATTGAATTTCAATGCATTTCATTGAACATAGTAGGGAAGCAAAAGGAGTAGAAATAAGGAAAAACAGGAGAATGAAGATAAGTAGAAGAGAAAGGGGTTAAAAAATCAAACTATGAAGAAGAATCACAGAATAAATATCATAAAAGCTCATGAACACATGAGCTTGCACACATAGACACTTGATCCCTCTCTTGGCAACATCACTACTTCAAGATTGGACTACTTCCCAACCCCCTCACAGCACCCAAGCTGGGATTCTTTTGAGCAGCATCTTTGTGCTTTGCCCGAGCAGTGGCTGGAGCATCACCAATTCTTTGCTGAACTCAGAGAGTCCTTCACACTGCAGAAATGGCTGCATGTTTTGAGCAGAGCCCTTAAAAACCAACAATATCCAAACATTCCAGAAGCATGGAAGGGTTGCTTGCACTCCAGTACTAATTGCTGAGCAGTGCAGTAGGAGGGGACCTGTACAATTGCGAGTAGAAAAGGAAGGTGAAATTGAGCTGCAAGAGAGACGGAGGAAAGAAAAGAGGAGAGTGAAATAAGTGAAGGAAATAAAGCAAATAAAAGGAAAAATAGAAATGAAAGAAAAGGGAAAAATAGAAAGCAATGAGAAAAAGATGTGATTTTAAGAACAAGAAGGTCAGAAGCTGGGACAGGCTTTTACAAATGCACTTAGAATAGCACAATAAAACTTCAGATCCATGCTTCTGGATGCCAGACTCTCACATGTGCAAATAAAAATACACTGAAAATTGTGCATGTCCTCTAACTTATAGGCCTACTTGGGTCACAGACTGCAGTATACACACACAGATGTTGAGACTTGCAATGGAGCATAAGGGCAGACTCATGCAATTTCCCCTTTCGTGGGGGAAGTGCAGCAAACCGCATATTGAAAATGCACATTTAAAATTGGAAGTTGTATTTTAGCAAATGGCAGAAAGTGCAAGTAAAATGTTCAGCAAGTGCCAATAGTTTCACACTAAAAATTAGTCAGACTATGAGAAGCGAAAGGATATCACAGCCTTCTGACTGGATTGCAAAATATTATGATTTTCACCTTGCTTAATGCAAGAGAAAATCTGGTGCTTGAATGCATAGGTGATTCAAAAGGTGTCAGCAACTGTTGTAAGTTCTCTCTTACAAACTCCACACTAGCATCTGACTATTGAGGAAAAGCAACACTCACCATGCTAAGCATATCCAGACTCAGGGGAACGTCATGGGAAAGTGGTTTGACTGTTTTGCCCTCTTCAACCTCCGCGTAAAAGACCTTGGGAAGAAGATAGAGTCAAGCTAGCTCAAGCGGTAATACAATGCTTCAGAATGATTGAAAAACAAGCACACTGTTATCAGACTGTGAGAAGTATCCAAGTTTATGATTTCCTACCTTTCCAATTGCATGAAAAGCTACACCCCATTGACATTCCCTCCACATTTGTTAGGCCTTGTATCATGACCAAATGACTCTGCCTGACCATCTATGTGTTAATGATGTGAAACACAGCCTAGCTTTCAGGTCAGACTTGAACTGACAAATTAAATTGTGCATTATCTGGCCATAGTTAGATTGAACAGGGGAGGATTCATGTAACTGGTCTGCACAACTTAGGCGTTTGACATCATATAAGGAAGCAACTGATATTGTGTGATTATGCAAATTGCTTTATCACAACTGTCTCTTCTCACATCTATTCAGTGAAGGAAGTATAGGAAACTAATGAACCACAAAGAATTTAATTTCCTAAGCGCAGAGAGACCTTGAGATGCCAGAGCATCTAAAATCAACCCTAAGTAAAGCTGGTTTGGGTGCAGCACTATAAATGCCACATTTGTCATTGATTTTATCATCATGCCATACATGATCTCAAGAGTTAAAACTGAGGCTTGGTTATTTCATCTACTGAAGGAAGAGTGAACAATATTTCTCATATGAGACTATATTGTATTGAAACTGTTTTTGGAAATATTATAACCTATAGAAAAGTCAAACTAGAAAGAATTCCAAGCAGTCAATGTCCTTATTTTTTTGTAGTTGATACTAGAACTGTAAGCAATTGAAACAACTCTCCAATGCCATATACAGTCCTATTTCCTGCACCTCTGTTTTTACAGCAGATGCTTCTAGGTTATACTTCTATATTATGCATAATTTCATAACAATTTCAGCATTGTAGAGGTGCTGCATTTGTGTCATTTACAAAGCCATGGGGTTAAGGGGTATGTGTACCAACAAAAACAGTTTCAGGGAAGCCCCTCATGCTTCTGGAGCACATCAGTTTTAAAGACAGTAAGGAGTTTTCCACTTGCATCTTTTATGTAAAACTGCATTTTAGATTACATTCATTTTTTTAGAAATTGCAAATCGTTTTACTGAAAATGCTAGCAAAATCACAACTTCTGTTAGTTTCTGTAAACAGGAAAAATGAACAATTCTAGTAGATCCACTACATCACTGGTGCTAATTTGCCCATGGCAAAATCACCTCTGGGTAACTTCCATTTTGGAACTGAATTGCATTGCCATGGAGCATCCTTCCATGGGAATGGAAGGGAGGTTGACGGGCCAGAGCAGAATTGCTGGGCAAAACAAGGAAATTGCTGGACTTCTTGAAAGGAAATTCACCACAGAAATAGGAGTTAGATAAAATACATTTCTCCATGATATTTAAAGCCAAACTTGGGCTCCCAGTGATGTCATGCAGTAGAGTTTCTATCAAGAGGAGCAGACCAAAGAAGTCTCCCCCTCGCTTGCACGTACTGCTGTTGTGGGAAGGCAGCAGTTTATCTTGCAAGAGCTCTTCCTGCTAATGAAATCACAAGCGAAAGGATCTGAATGGGCCTGAAATCACTATAACTCTCACAGTGTAATATTGATCTCCTCTGCTGTACTTCTTTGTCCTACAAGCTACAAAGAGCTTTGGGAACTTCCTTGGCTGGGAACTGCAACAGAAGAGCAATCTATTCCCACTGCAAACCACTGGCATACAGCCCAAATTCCCATCATAGCTTGCTTCTGAAACATAAACTTCTACTTTCTTAAAGTTACAACTCAATCAGTTGAAGCCCACCGTCCCCTGAACGCTTTCTGGGCAATTACATTATTTGTTTGAAAGCCATCTCTCCTGCATGCTTAGGAGTGATGCATAGGTGTGAGGCTAGGCAGAGTATTGCAGTTCTCTACGAATCATCTAAAGATGTACTTACTGTATATCCTGTGACGGTGCTTGCATGTTGCTTTGGCATTCTCCATTGCACGCTGAAAGCTGTGCAATTCAGTGAATCCAGTAGTATATCTACAGGAGGCCCCAGCCTATCTGCCTCAAAACAAAATGACATTGTGTAAGAAGCCATAAGACAGAATCTCCCACTTTGAGTCACCCAACAGGTAGGCTTTTAAAGAAGAACTGATATGTGTTGCTCTCTTCTTTAAAAGTCTGTCAAACATAGTTCACAACTCATAGTCAAACTGATTGTTACCTACCCTAAAAATTGCCCCTAATGCTAATTTTGTTTGTCACTTGTATGGAAAGTAGAGATGGGGAAAGTCTTAAGAATCAGGACAGTTTTAATGTAGCATATGTTTAAATGAATTAAATGAGACAAATCAGGAAGCAGTTTATCTCCTTTTGTTTTCTCATCTTTTCTCAGCTGGCCCAGAGAACATGGTACTGATTCCCTTCCCACCTCTCAGAGGAGAAGCAGAAGGAGGAAGAGGAGGGTGGCAGGCAGGCCAGCGGAGACACCTCAGACTCCAGTGCCACCAGCAGAGTTGGTGTCGCATACCTCAGTCTTCCCATCCCAGAATGTGTTCCTTGTCCTGACTGGAGACCAGGAGACCAGTAGCATTAAGCTTCCTCCTCATTCCCACAGACTTCAAATCCAGCAAGAAAATCTTTGAGCCATGGGAGTGTCCCTCCAGCCTATTACCTGCATCAGACACCACCTGCAATCAAGTCACTTATACAACCATTCCCACATATGTATTTCCAAGTTAATTTCTTAATCGACTTGGTGATGATGAAAAAAGTGAAACCAAAAAAAGCCTCATCCTCACCCCATGCTGCTTTGATACAGGCTGAAAAATCTCCTTTATGAGTGACCAAAAGGTGGATGACCTCCAGAACTTCAGTTCCTTTGCTATAGCTATAGATGGGAAGGAGAATTTTAGAAGTAAGCCTGGTTTTTCACCAAGTTTCACTTTTCAGCAAGTTTAACTTGATGAGAAGTGAATGATGGAGGGGTCAGTTCCTCCCTCCTCCTCACTGACTGCTGAGGGCTAGATGCAGTTATAATGATGGGCTCCCTTGTTTCACCGCTGCATGCCCAAGCGGATCTTTCAGTCTTGCCAAAATCAATGAAGTGTCTGATCAGATGAAAAGGGAAGCATGTTTATAGCTCTGTATCGATCTCACAGTATCTGTCTCCCTTCTTTTACACTACACCAGTCAGCATTTCAATGCAATACCTAGCTACTGGGAGAAAAAAAAAGATGAGATCTATGCCTCTGGTTACATGTTAGCAACTGTATTTACTGTATAAAGAAAGAGGCTGGTGGAAGAGTTTGCCTATTCTGTAACCAGAATAAATCTCTGGTGTAATACAAACTTCATTAACCTACTTAGACTCTCAAAGAGATTTTTCAAGGTGTTCCTAATTTTTGAATACATAATGTTTCTTGGACAGTCTTGCCAAGAATATTCTTCCATTAACTGAGAAGCAGCATTAGCTTTGGAAAAGCAAAGGTGTATTTTATCTAGTAAAATAATAAGGATCACAGGTCAATCATCCCCTTAAACACAGTAAAGTTCTGAAGAAAACTCTATCATTTCTAATCAAACTGTGGTGATCTTGAAGCATTTGCAGGCTGCTCCTGTAATTTTAATGAAGGCATGAGGCTGGCATCTGACCTCTGGAAATGAAACTAATGATGAAGATGCTGTGCCCACCAAGGACAGCAAGCACTAAGCTGTGTTTAGAGAAGGTGTATTAGAGAAAAGACAGTAATAGTGTTGCTTTACTGCTTAAAAGGATTTGGTTATTTTCTAGGAATCTTCACTACAGCTCATGTCCCCAAACCATCTCTCAGGAAGCTGTGGGCTGTGAGAATTATTTTGAGGTTGACTATGTATGGATTATGTGACCAGGATCAGGATTTTCAACACAAATTCTCTAAACAGCCATCATTCATGCTCTTGAAATCTAACCCATGTCATAAATAAGTGCAACAGAGAACTGATCATGATATTTAAATAGCAACTTCAAATTTTTGAAGGCAACAGATCTGCTATATATAGTTTTCTGGATGCCTTTGGTTATGAAAATTGTAAGCAAAGGCTAAGAAAGCCTGATTTTCTTGGCTAGTTCTGAAAAAATATCACAAGAAATCAAGTTGCTATAACAGTTATTTTAAAATGTGAAGCAAAGCTACATCAGATTTACTCTTGTCATTTCCATCAAAATACTTGAATTGAAGTTAAATACAGAACTGAACAGCTTACAAATTCTCCACATTAACAATCAACAACAATACTGAAAAGTTAAAATAGGAGTAGAACTGATAGTCTGGTCCTTTTAGGATTGTCTCTGCATTTTTCTGCTACTAGGAACTTTTTGTTTCATATTTTTTGTATGAATGGTGAAGTGGGAATAGACAGAGGCTACACCTGACAGTAAAACCAAGGGATCTTTGCTTTCTTCGTCTTTTTACGTATTTACTTTTCCACTCCATTCCAAGTAAACCTGGATAATGCTAATTGCTTTGATGAAAGAATAAATATAAAAATATAAACAAGGTTTAAGACAGCCTAACCTCTTTCACCATCTTATTTCAGTGCGAAGGGCTGCTCATGAAGACCTCTCTTTTCGTTGAAATTTTTGAAAGAAATTCTGGAAATGAATGAAGCATTATACCACCTTCAAGAATGTTTTGCAGATGTAAGAAAACTTGACTCCAACATATATGAATTGTTCTTATCCACTGAAATTATGTAATTAAAATCAATGGAAACATTCAAAAATGTACAGGTAGCACTAATAGATTTTAGTAAATAAACACCAGTCAGATGGTCAGACTGTTCCTCCAGTCCTCCAAGAATTTCACATTTCCCAGACAGTAAAATGGAGTAGTTTCTTTCTAACCACTTTCTAGATATACTACCAGCATCCCACAGACAGTGGCACAGCTATCCTCTTTATCTCTCTGTTTCCTTAATTTCTGGAGAAGGGGCAAGGAGAATCTAAACATGTCCTACACAGATACCTCAGCAAACAAATAACCAGGCAGCGCATCAAGCAGTGCATTGAGGCTAAGCTACCCAACGACTGGTAAGAACAATCCAGCTGAAGTACCTCTCGGTTCTCTTGGCTCTATTTAGGCAACACTTTACACGCAGAAAATACCTTATTATCTTCACAAAACGTAGTGAGGTAGATAAGTATTGAACAGTCTTCAAACTCGTATTTTGAATGCATTATAGGCTAATAAAAATATTTACAGAATGTTTTGGTGAATAATTTTGAAAAAGCATAAATTTGAAAAAATGTAATCCATCTGCAGAATAGCTTCAAAAACAGAGAGGCAACATGTGTTTAATAAGCATCTTCACTACAAATTATTCATCCAGCCCTACTAAACAGCATTATCTCCAGTTCACAGATGATGACACAGACGCAGAGAGTCAAACACCGACTTCAGGTTGGCACCACCTTATAAATTGTGACTAATTGACACTAGAGCAAAACTGAGTCAGAGGTGCCTACATTTTCTGTTGCTTTGTTTAATTTTCCCTTAAAATTAGAGAATTTCCTTAATACTGCAAAGATAACAGCAGGAAGGTACGAGGCATGCTCAGCAGCCCAGCAGCACCGCTTCCCAGTGTGCAGGATCCTCCTCAAAACAGCCTGGTACCACATTAGCTCCTCCACCACCATGTAATCCATCCTTCCCGATAAGCAGCCTTTCCGCACTCCCTGTGCCAGGTGAATCCCTGAAGCACACTGCCTCTGAACCAAAAGCATGGCAGAGGAAAAGGAAAACATGGCCAAGCTCTGCCCCTCACACGGAAGTTATTCCTAAGGAAGAATAAAGAGAAAGGCAAATCAGGCTATCAATTGGGCTGTCTCATACCATGGGACATCCCCCACAGTTTGCCTCTGTCGCAACTTGTGACCTTGTCATTAAGGATGGGCTTCTAGTGACTAAAAGAAGCTTTGTCAGAGTCCAAATTTCACATACTTTGGTAGAAAGCAAAGAGTATCCTTTTTTTTTTGAGGCTGAGCATTCCTTTCATAGCCATGACAAAACAACTGCAATATCTGACACATGCAATGTTTATCCCACTGAGACGCAAATGTTCTTATGGCTTTTAAACAGTTACTCTGTAGCATCATATCAAAGCAGTTTGTCAGCTCATCACAACTGTTGTACACATTGCTGCTTCACTAACAAATTACTTTGAGATAAATGTGTGCTTGAGGTATTTTGTAAGATTTTACAGTGCATCGGGTATTAGACATGCTAAAAATGAATGGCAGGGCTGGTCTTAACAGTTATGGTTTTATGACCTGCTTGAATGCTAAAACAATTTTCAGGGGTAACATCCTGGGTATTTGTAGTATCCCCTACAAATCAGGTCAGAAACAGCTCTACTTTGACATTTCAGCCCCAAATTCCCCTTGATCTGGTGGCACCATGCACAGCTCAAGAACACAGCTGAGCTCTGCTGAGCACCTGCATGTGCAGAAAGCTGCTGGTCAGCCATGTACCTGGCAGAACACAGCACTGTGGGTTCGACTTGCGTGGCACGGCTGTGACAAACGCAGAAGTACTGCCCCATATACCCTCAATGTATTCTGCCCTCACAGAGTTTCAATAGCTGTGGCTCTTCCCGGGAAGGACTTAGCAGGATGGCAGGAGTAGATGACAGATTCCCACTTGCAGGGTATCTATAAAGAGTGATGTGAAATTTCCAGAGCAGAGTGCTCTGTCTAAAACTCTTGTTAAATACAATCCTGCAAATGACAGGTGACTTGATGCCTGAACTAGATATAGACCTGTTATTGCAAAGAAAAAAGGAGAAATGTATCTACTATATACTACAAAGATTTGTCTCAGTGATGATCCCAGCTGAAAATAACCTCTACAATTGGATCCTATGAATAGCGAAGAACTCATGGATACCAACTCTAATAATAAAGAGCAAGGAGTGAATTTATTTAAAAAATAAAATCACTTTCTGTACAAATATAGTCATCCCTCTTTCTGACTAGTCAGGCACATAAAATTCGATATTGTTCAAAATGCGTTGATGAAACAGGAAATGGAAGCCATTATTTTG